TAATCTTTATCAGTATTTTTTGAGATGAGGAATTATCATTATTATATGCTTTGCTATTCAGACCAGCATCTTCATCTTGGTTGTTATTACTCACAACATTTCGGCTCGTACCGATGTAATAATCTTTATCAGTATTTTTGAGATGGTGAATTATCGTTATTATCTTATCTTGGTTGTTTTACTATTTCAGACCGATTAATAATCTTTAATATTTTTGAGATGGTGAATTATCGTTATTATATACTTTACTATTCAGACCGACAAATTAATATTGCTTTGTATACTATAAGCTGTAGCTGTACTATTTGGCCATTTCCTGGTGTAATTTGAACTCTGTAACCTTCTCGCAATTTTGAACCGAACATATATATATATATATATATATATATATATATATATATATATATATATACTAGATTAAATGCTGTCTGATAGGGCAGCATTTAAGCTAACTTCTGCAGAGAGCTCTTGATTAGACCTTCATCAGAATAGGTAGGGAGAAGTAGATGCGATAGGCAACAATAAATATAGAAGAACTTAAAATTGTTCGCTGTATTTAAGCATTGCATTAATATTTAAGTTTACCTTTTAATCATTTTGATCAACGAAGGTCTTCTTATCAATTCATTTAATCATCATCATCATCATCAAATACATATCCAAGGGGTCAGATTAAGCTGTTTTTGCACCCCCACTGAGTTTTTCCCCTTTGAATCAAATTAAATTTAAATTAAATTTGAATTTGAGCAAGGGAATGACTCCTGTCCAAAATATAGAAGGAGAAATCAAGAAGATAGAGGTCACATCGGCAAGATCATTAAGTAATACTGAATTGCATCATTTTTCTCCACAAATTATAATAATGAATTAAAATCAATCATTTTCTTACAAAAAATAATTCGCGGGTAATTCGGCTAGTATATATAAATAAAAACAAATAAATACTACAGGCCAAGTTCAACTTCCTCAAAGATTGTCATTCACCCCTGTAGTTCACTGCTACAAACAAGCATGGATTTCCCCTCCTAAATGACGGCCATGCTGGCCGAAACTAGTATTAATATGCAACCCAGTGTGCTTGAAATTTTTATTTTTTAACAATTTTTGTTGTTCAAGATAATATATATTAGAACGGTTCATGATCAAACATAAAAGACATTCGTTTTCTGTTATATTTAACAATGTATATATATATATATATATATATATATATATATATATATATATATATATATGAGTGTGTGTGTGTGTGTTTAAAAGTAGGTAATCAGTCAATCACAGTACCTTGGTTTCAATCTTTCAGTATCAGGCGTTATAGGCCATACGATTTTTTAACGCTTTATTATTTATATATAGACGCACGACGTAATGTATAATAAAAGGGGAGGAGAAAAGCAAGAATATTGAAATTGATGATACAGAAAGGTTGAAACCAAGATAGCGTGATTGGTTGATCGCCTAAATTTTTAATTATATATATATGTAAAGATGTGTTTGGCAATCCGTAAGGATAATTCCAGGGACGATATAATTCCGAGAGCTCAATGTAAAAACAGAGGAAATATTATTTATATTAAGAAACACACAACTTTAAGTTGTCTGTTTCTCAATATATATATATATATATATATATATATATATATATATATATATATATATATATCATCAGACCGTTATCATCGCATAGCAAACTTCTATGTAAACATAACATGATGTCATATTTGATGGTGAACATCTCTGTTGCAATGTCCATCTAACCACCCTGATGTTGGCTCATGTAAGCCGAAAGCTTTGGTCGAGAAAAGCATAAAAAAATATCCAAATGCTGGACATTTTTTCTTTAATTTCTCCCGAAATTAAAGTAAATATACAAAGCTTAGAACTGCTCATGAACAAACATAAAAGACAAACGTTGTCTGTTATATTTAACAATATATATATATATATATATATATATATATATATATATATGTGTGTGTGTGTGTGTGAAAATATATAGAAAATAGGAAGGAATTGGTTAGGTGAATAATCCAAAGTCCCTTAGTATTTTAGTTATTATTTTTAAAAAATAGTGCTCGATACAAAAGTAGAGCATAAATATAATTATTTATTTAAAAATATGATTCCAAATCGCTACATAAGAGGTCTCATGTTTCAAAACAAGGGTCGAAAACTTCAATATAATCCTTTAAATTAAATTGAGTTTAAATTAAAATGGGCTCCGTTCCATCTTCAAGCGAAATTTTTGTTGGAATAACGTATATCTGAAATTTACTTGTTTTAAAAATTGAAATCAAAATCTCCATGGTAACAGCTAGGGCGAATTGTTTAAATTGGGTAGGCGAGTGTAGGGTGTTAATAATAAGTAGCAGTATAGAGATACTTTCTAGATGTCAAGTCGGGGGAAGGTCGGGTGTCTAAAATGAAACGGAAGATGTATTAGCCATCGTCTAGTTTGCTTGTCTATGGAGATTTATTTATTATAAATAATAATAATCTATTAAATAATAGACACGAGTTAACGGTTTTTTGTAGACATCATCAGATTTTTGGTTTGAATTATTGGATAAAAAAAAAAAAAAAATTAATAATAACTTGTTTAACAAATAGCCCAACCATCAGATTCATAGTAGGAATAATTAACTACAAACATGCATACAACATAACACCTTTCATAACCCATAGCCCAAATAAGTAGTTTAAATACCTTACATAAAAGATAACCCTTTATGAAGTCGTCAAAAAACAAACGTTACGAAAGTTTTTCTTTTTTTTATATGCACAATTCCCTTTCATAATAAAATAAAATAAAATAAATAAACACTTTTTCGTAGGTTACGTTTGTCAAAATCTAGTGCAATTCGCGCACATATAGATGAAAATATGACAAAAAAATATTAACATTAGACAAATTTTAGTAGATAAAACCAAAATTTTATACAGGACACAGCGAAGAGAAACACTCCAAATTCTGGAGGCAGTTCTAATAATAGAGAAGAAAATGGGGATTGTATATTGAAGTCTGTTTAATATAAACACACACGCACAGATATAAAAACACACATATATAAAAAAATCAGTTTGATCGTTTATATGACGTCATCTTTAGTGACTTGAAATTTGTTTTATTAAACGTGAGAACGCTGGAATTTAAAAAAAAACCTAGTTGCATAACCCTACAAGGAACAATCTGTTGTATTGTACTACACAAGCACCATTATGGGTCATTATGGAGTAACTCATCATGCCAAAGAAGCAAGAGATCCCAGTCATGGCTGTCAGACAATTTCTGCAACCACATCACCCTTTACATCTGGCAAACCCCTTGATTATTATGTGTGAGGCGCAGTTGAGTGAGAGACTAACTAAACTCCTTGTAACACTAAAGATAAGCTGAATGCAAGGATTATAATACCATTCGGCAACTTAAACAAAGAGACCGTCCAGAAAAGTTGTTAGAGATTCCATAGATGGCTGGAGGCCGTGGTTGAAGCCAATGGCGATTTTATTGAATAACTTTACTCTATAGTATTTCAAGATATTTTTGTATAATTTTAGTAGATTTATTTATTTTTCACCTAACGGTCTGAATATTAGTGAAATCTTATTAAAGAAAGGCGCAAATTTTTCTCAAATATTCAGAAATATTCTTTTTCCGGAAAGATTTCGCGAATATTCAGGCCGGTAGGTGAAAATAAATAAATAAATATACTGTTTAATAAATAAACTGGGCGCTTACACAAATATGCCAATTCAATTAAAATAACGTTTAAAGTGATAAAAATCTATCGGATTAATAAAAAGCCACATACACACAATTTTTTTTTATCTTGACGTATTGTACTAGTGATCCGGCGTTATCAGATGAAAGATTTCTCTTAGTAATATGATCATTTTTTTTCTGATGACGTCAGATAATTGGTGAAACACGTCAAGGTAATTTTTTAAAAAATATCTCAAGTATTTCACATTCTTATCCGAAAATTTGTAAAATATACAAAATTAAACAGACAGACCATGTCGGTTCTTTTTTAATCAAACATATTTGGATGAATAATTTCTGCCTAAATATATTTTTAAACACAGGCACACACACAAATATATATATATATATATATATATATATATATATATATATATATATTTGCAGAACACAAATACATACAAGTATATATATATATATATATATATATATATATATATATATATATATATATATATATATATATATATATATATATATATATATATATTTGTAGGGATAAAAAAGTAGGGATAAATTAATATATATATATATATATATATATATATATATATATATATATATATATATGTGTGTGTGTGTGTGTGTATGTGTGTGTGTATATATATATATATATATATATATATATATATATATATATATATATATATATATATATATATAAAAAGAAAGAACAGTAAGATATATAATCCGGTGTTCTTATAGATATTTTTATTTTACAAAATTGTGCTCAATGTAAATTTACAGAGCATTAATATTATAAATTAATTGATTTAAAATAATTGATTTAAAATATGGTTCATATATAAACATATATAAACACTATGAAATGGACTAAGTGCGACAATTATTTTACATACATAATTTGTATAGATACAAATATTTAAGTAAATGCTCTGTTGAAAATATACAGTATTAACATTTACTGGCCTGAGTGCCCGAAAAAGAAAAGTGTAGAATACAGGTTCGATTCCTGTCGGAAGACATATTTTCTATGAGATTTTTCGGACATTCAGGCCGGTATATGTTGTTAAAACAGTTTATTATAAACAGAGCATTTACTTAAATATTTGTATCTATAAAAATAACATATAAAGAGAATGTAGATATAGATATATGTGTGTGTGTTTGTGTGCGCGCGAAACTATTTTAATGTTTAGAGTGTTAATCTCGCAGGCCGTTGTCAGGGATTTCCCCACATGAGGTTCGAAAGAAAAAAAATGTAAAGATTCCTTACCTTTATTTTTTTCTGTCCGCCGTTCTCCAGTAAGCTGGTTTTATTTTAGGCTACATAGCATGCTGTATTCATTAGGTTTTTCATAATGTGTTACCGCTACACGCGTTGAGAGACAGACAACGCCTGTATTGACATGAATATGAACGATTCTTAATTTGAACTCATATGACTTCTGATGACTGCAATCATGCGTGCATTTATGCAACCTTGCGAGTGCACATGTCTGTTGTTTTTCTGCTGTGTGTAGCTATGAGGGTTAACAGATATTCAGGTGACAAATTTCGGCCAAGTTAATAGATATGACGATTTTATACTTGAGTAAAGTTCTGTTGTCAAGGCAGTCGCTAACTCTGGACTAGACACTCACTTGTTGCGTGAACTTTAAAAACCACAATTCATAAAATTTCTAGACATCCGGTTAGATGATGAACCCGGATTTTACGAATGAGGTGTGTTAGAGTGACAGACAAACAGATAGATAGATAGATAGAGAGATAGGGAGAGAGAATCTAATTTGTATGCAAGTCTTGGTATGTCCTCCTCAATCTCAATTCAACTCTCTTTTTCTCTTTCCATATTAATTCATACACACACACACCCACCCGATCCAGGTTTATGTGTGTGTGTGTGTGTGTATGTGTGTGTGTTGCTGTTCTAATTACATACTAATTTGACTCTCATTTATGGTTACCATATTCGCTTTCCGACCATGAGTTCCGGTTTCGAATCTAACCATGGGTGACTCGCCAGGCAGTTGATTTCTAGATGTTATTCCAGTGTGCTTGATGCTATACCATGTGCTGACCCAAACCCCGTGAGTTTAATTTGGATAGACGAAACTGTTCGGAGGTGGTGACCGAAGTATTGAGTTCAAACTATTGATCGAACTGGAAACAGGAACTGTATAATTGCAGTATAAGTTATGGGTGTTGAACAAATACAGTGTTTGAGCCGGCGTCTGCATCAACGATTGTCTACACGCATGCGCATACACGCATGCTCGCAGTCAGCAAATAAATCGCCATTTTGTTATTTAAACCATGGCATTCATTCATTCATTCATTCTTTCTTTGCTTCTTTCATTCTCTTTTTTCATTTAGTTTTGTTTCATTCATTCATTCTTTCTTTTTCCTTTCGTTCTTTCTTTTTCATTTATCTATGTGTGAATAGTGTTTAATATTGGAAATAGGTGTTTATAGAATAGACAGTGTCGACATAAGTATCAACACTGCATTGGGACTGTCAGCTTAACGCTAGAAATAGGGAAGCTATTCACACAAAACATCATTTAACAATACAACAAGAAGAAGAAAGAGAACGAAAAACTGTAAGCAGGACAACCTTCTCAAAGCATATATGTAAACCTCAAAACAGAAATGATTGAGTCATTGATTTGTTTAACGGCATATCAATTCCTCATGGGTCATTTAATGCTGAAATTTAATTTTTGGAGAGCTTTAAAGTAATAAAAATATGGTATATGTTATTCTGCTTTCAAAATTGAATACAAGGTAGATGATTGGTTGATTGCTTTTGTAGCGGCATATCAACCTCTAGGGGGTATTTAATGCCGAAATCTAAATATTTTGAACGCAATTTTATGACTTTAATTAAATATATTTTGAGCGCAAATGTACGACTTCAGCTACAGACAATATGTATTGTTGCCAATTATTTTTTTTAATAAAAATTTATTTCTGGTAATTTTACTATAAAAATTACTTTCATAGTGCTTTGTTTTTTTTTTTGGGGGGGGGTACTATTTTAACACAGTTGGGACTCTAACAGGTTCGATCACATCGAGTCAGGGTGGATCCGGGAACAGCAGCAATTAAGAGGTGGTTTCATGCTCCTCAAACCTCCAACCTCCCGATTTAACGTTTTTATTTATTATTGGTTATTTTATAGTTGGTTGATGTGACTCGAGCAGCACAAAGCTTTCTAAACATATCTGGGAGACTAAAAACAAAAAACAAATAACACCCAAAATAATGGATGATAAGGAAAAACAGCATCAGCCTACAACAATAAAGATCAAAACTGCAAACTCTGTCTGGAGTAGAAAATAGCTATAATTACTTTCCCAAACAAACCCAAACTACTAAATAAACGATCAGAACTCATCTCAGACACGAAAACAGATTTTTATTACGTTACTTAAAAATCGAAAACTAAAAACGAACAAGAATAAATAAAAAAAAAATAAAATAAAATAAATAAATGAAAATAATAAATAAGTAAAATAAATTAATCCAAACCAATAAGTAAATAAATAAATTAAGTAAATAATAAGCTAACAAACCACGAACATAAACCCAAGTAAACGCAATAATAACAACTAACAATAAAATAACCAATAACCAGCTATAAAATACGCACAAAATTACACCCAGATCCAAAATGATTAGTTCCTAGAATAATTCGAAACATAGCCATTACCACCCACGCAAACAACCGTTAGAATAATACAATAGGCCTACCCATAATGCATCACTAATCTGTATATAGTGATTTTCCAAGCGTAGCTCAGATGTGGCACAAAGCCTAAAGTATGGGGCACCCAGTGAGAATCGAACTCACTACTCAGTCGTAATTGTTCTAGCGAGACAAGCTTACTAACCATCACACCACGCCGAGGTGCCCAACTAACCTGTATATATAAATGGTCAACTCGCGTGGTCTGACAATTGCATTTAAGCATGAAATAGACTGTCGCCGCTTGGTGTTGACTTCAACGTTCACTTTTATATTTACATACGCTCTATCCCTGATATTGAGCATTTTAACAAATAAATATAGCATGCCTTAAACTATATATTTATCATATATGTATATATATATATATATATATTTGTCATATATAGGGTGACCCCAAAAAATGGGAACTTGTTAACAAAGCAATAAAACCAAGAGTGATAGAAGAAAAATATTTTATTCATATTAATTGAAACCTTAAAATATGCCATTTAAGAAACAATGATGGAATTTTCTATTTTTAGAAATTACGTCCTGTAGATGGCGTCTTCCTGTACGAATGCATTCTTGAAATCTGCTGTTGAGATCCTCATTGACTGCTGCAACATCTCAGCTGGGATGTGAATTTCATCTTGAATTCTAAATGGTGAAATGTTTACTTGCTCAAGGTCACTGTCTTGCAGTGTTGCTACTTGCTCATGTCTGGCAATACGCACTTCAAAAAATCCCGTTTTTTTTTGGTCACCCTATATATATATATATATATATATATATATATATATATATATGAAGAAAATACAGAAAAAACAAACAAAATCTTAATATGTAATTATGCTGTATTAATGTTAATATAAAGTCAACGTCGGACGTTTCGGTCTATTTTAGACCATCATCAGGACTTATTTATAAAACATTATTAACATTAGAACATATAAAATTCAACATGAAAAAGACGATGGACATAAAAGCACAACTAATCCAAACAGATAACTGAAATTTTTTATATAAGATCAGCGTTCCTTTTAAAATATGATCACGTCGTCGTCACGTGGGCGATGTTGTGAAAACGTATTCGAAGATGATTTCAAAATATTAAAATATTAAACAAATTCGATTGAACTATTTTCTCATATAAACAGTTCGTCAAGATGATGGTCTAAAATAGACCGAAACGTCCGACGTTGACTTTATATTAACATTAATACAGCATAAATACATATTAAGATTTTTGTTTGTTTTTTCTGTATATTTTTCTTCATACTGTCGGATCTATATCCATATATTTGCTTATATATATATATATATATATATATATATATATATATATATATAGCGACATATAATTTTTTTATATATCAAGGACAATTTTAGGGAAAGAAGTATGACAAAGAAAAGCTTTCGTATCATGTATTTCGTCCTTTAACATTTCGTCAGACTAAGTTTGTTTAAGTTGATGCGACTGCACATGGGCACGAACGAGAGACGCTGGGAATTTTAAATTAAAAAAAAGTATATTTTATATGTATTTTGGGTATATAACCTAGCTAATTTCATTTCGATCCCTTTTCTTTTTCTTTCCATCACATTTTTTATCAAATATCCCACACTGTGATAATCGAAGATCTGCTAATAATGGTGAATGTTGTAAGGACCTGAACGCAAATTCACAGTGGATGATCTAGAGATTTCTAAACATTTTCGTCTTAGTGAACTGTTTTCTCTTCTGTTTTTAATTAGAGTAGCATTTTTTATATCAAAATTGTGGTCAGTCTCGTTACGGTGAGTAACTGATGCGTTTAATGTGTTGTTTTGCAAAAAGTCCCTTTTGTGTTCACATAATCTTTTATCTGTCATATATTTTCCATCAAAATTGTTCTTGATATATTAAAATTTATATATCGTTATCTCATATCTATCTATCTATCTATCTATCTATCTATCTATCTATATATATATATATATATATATATATATGTAAACGTGTGTGTGTGTGTACGGGGTAAAGATATATATCATTTTTTTAAATATCAAGTATAATTTTAGGGGAAAGAAGTACGACAAAGTGGAAAAGGTTTTCATGTGACGCGTTTCGTCCTTTAGGACTTCATCGGACTAAGTTTAGATTTATGTTAATGCGATTGCACATGCGCACGGCGCTGGGAGACTCTGGGAAATTTAAATAAAAAAAAAACAGTTTTAATGTGTGTTTTGGATATATAATCTAGCCGATTTGATTTAGATTCTTTTTGTCTATGTTTCCATTTTTGTTATTAAATATCCCACATTTTGGTAATAGAAGATCTGCCAAAAATGGTGAAATGTAAGCACCTGTACTCTAGCGATTAAAGCAATTTCAAGGAATTTTGTGCCAGTAAATTGTTTTTTCTTTTAATTCGAGTAGCATTTTAAACAGTCTGGCTTTCCATAATATATATATATATATATATATATATATATATATATATATATATATATATATATATATATATATATTTAAACATAGAGGATTGGTGCATAATTATCAGGCATTTTTAAACAATATTTATTATGAAAAAAAAACTCAACAATAACATTATAATATATATATATATATATATATATATATATATATATATATATATATATATATATATAATTATTTATTTAAAAATATGATTTATGCTCTACTTTTGTA